CAATCGGTTAATCAGCCCTTTGGCGGAGGAACCGGCTCCGTGTCAGGCTGACAGACAACCGCGCCGCCAGAGTCGGTAAACGTCCCCATAATGAAAACCCTCCAATAATTTATACCTCTGCAGACCAGCTCCTCCTGCTCACGTACCAGACTGAACTCACCAGTAACTGCTGCCGGGTTTCTGATTGCTCTCGTTTACAAGAGCAATGGAACAAGTCGGATCTACAAACACAGCTGTGATGTAGAGAATGTACCGGAAAGCTCAGAAGCTCAGCATCCTTTTATAGGTTATTACTGAGTACCCTGCTAAAGTATATTGGTGTGGCTTAAATATTTATACCAAGGTACCAGTGCCTGAGGGATTGGAAGCAAAAGAGATTTTTGGCGCATTTTTATACCAATAAATGTGTAGCCAGCAGCTAACAAGGCAAAAAAAAAAAATCTGTTTCTCTGACACCTAAGCACAGCACAGAAAGCTGAGCTCAGATATCTTTCCTCCCCCTCTGCCTGCCGCTGTCCTGCCAAACCGACATGTTTGATCAACCCCGGTGTTCCCATAGCAGGCTGGTGATTTCCCAGCTACCTACTGCAGCACAGCCAGGATTTTCCTGCAAGAGAAGACCTTATTATTAGTGAAAAAAACTATGGGATGATGCAGGAAGGAAAAAAAAGTCCTCCTTCTATCTCATGGCGTGTTTGTTCGAAACACCGCACAAGCCCCTTTCGCCCGCAGGATGCTCGTCCAGCGTCCAGCTGCACGGTGCTTTCTCTGGCTGTGGGTTTTGGGGACGTGTCTGTCACGTGAGCTCCCGTTCCTGTTTTGAAAGATACACGGAGCATCGGCCAGACCCCTGTCAGAGCGTGCGACGACGGCGTTTTCCGGACGTGCTCCTCTGCTGAGCAGGCAAGGGACGCCTGGTCTCAGCGTTTTCCCTTGTAAAAATGCCCACATTGGTTCAGTTACGTTTCGCCACCTCAAAGTTCCCAGCTCCTGTGAAAAGTCCGGCTCAGACCGCTGCTAAGTCACTGCGGTTATGACTCACGGACTAACCAGAAATGCCAGGAAATCCTGGGTAGCCAGCAAAATGGCTTTCTGCGGCTGGCCTGCTGACTGCTAGGCGGGATTTTCTGGTGTTTAAGTAGCAGCAGTTTATGAATGAGAAGTCCTGGAAATGGCTTCTTTCTGAATCGCTCCAGAAGTACGAAATCTGGGGGCATTTATTTGATGCCCCAGGCAGACAGGGAGCGTCAGCTGGGTGATGTCCAGCATATCTGCGTGTGTACGGGATTCCCTCTGCTCGACGTCGCTGCAGTCATCAGCCCCAGGCAAGGTCCTTGCCGTCAAACGGGGCCTCCGCTCTCTTCGGAGGGGAGAACGATGGCCCGAGGACATTCCCCACGGGTCAGCAGGAACAAATCCTCCATCGTGCAGTGCACGTGCCGCTCGCCTGGCCTTTCGACGGCGTGCCCGCTGG